AAACAAACAAACAGGATTTAACAATTGTGTTTACATGACTGTTAAATTTCATGCAAGGGTCTATTGTCACTCTCAGATTAGTGACTCTTTTGTTTCTCTAACGGTGCTAGAGGAGAAGTCGATACAGTGGTTCTTGATCGTGCCATTAGGAAGAAACAACATGACTTCAGTCTTCTTCTCATTAAAACTTAAGAAATTTAAAGCCATCCAGTCCCTGATGTCAGTCAGGCAGTCAAGAAGAGGTTAAATAAAATGTGCACCAGTGTGCTTCAGAGGGACGTAAAATTGACAGTCATCGGCATAGAAACTAAAGGGTATGTTATGTTTATGGAAAATAGCGCCTTGTGGCAGTAGGTATAAAGAAAAGAGAAGAGGACCGAAGATGGACCCCTGCGGTACACCCCACCAAAGAGCTGCAGGTGCTGAACTAAAGTCCTTGATGTTGACACAAAAGCTTCTGTCAGAGAGGTAGGATCTAAATCTTTTGAGGGCTGACCCTGTGATGCCTATCCACTGCTCCAGCCTAGAAATAGACGCCTGTTGGGACTTGGCACTATGTAAATAAAATGAATTGAAAAGTAGTTATATTTCTTCCTCTAAGCTGAGCAACATCTCCATGCTCCGCCAGTCCCCTCATAAAGATCCTCTAAAACATCTAATCTTCTCACCCCATGCTGCTCAATCTTCATCCAGGCAGTCAACCCAGCAAAGGCAGATTAGTACCAAATTAATCCCTTTAATTCACTGTAGAGGTCCCCTCTTCTTTTAACCAGTTAAGCTGCTTCTGATCTTCCACAGATAATGAGAACAGTCAATTTAATTTATGAAAACCTTTATGTATTTGAAGATGTTAATCTCAGAAAGAATTTCAGCTTACACCACGACAAAAACGCAAGATAAGATGGTGTTACATTTGATTTATTAGTGTGGGAATCAGCGCAGAGCCACTAAACTCCATCAGATGCTGCCGGAGCGTACCGTCTCCGTACAGCATGTGTCCGTTTCCTGCTTTGCTGTGTCATCGGTTCTTTATCAGTTACTGACTTGCAGGTGACTCACGCAACAAGGAACAATGACACCATACATCAACTCGTTGCCAGACTGCCGGCGTGCTTCTGACTCTGCATAAGCCAAGGCACATGGACGTCTCGAGGAAAGAAATATAAACAAGCTAAGATGATGGGATGTCACATTTTTAAAACTTTACATGAACTAACAACTTGGTTACTGTAACTGGGACAGGTGAATCCATAATCCCAGTGACTCATTTTTCTTGCTCAGCTTATTTAAACAATGTGAGGTCACATCACTGGCTTTCATCTTAGTGAGTAAACTCTGTTTTTACGACTCCGGATACGAGTGTGCTGTGTAAAAAAATGAAGCGTTGGCACCAGAAACAGTTCCTGCATGGACAAACAAACTCTACGTTTAATCGACTATCAGATAAAAATATATTTAACGCCTCTAAACGACAGCTTACAGACAAAACTAGGAGAGAATCTCGCAAAAGTTGCTGTTGTCATAAAAAACATTGTCTGTTTATTAATAAAACTGTATTTCATTAAATATGCCAACTGAAGATGTAGTTTTTTTTCATTCTTAACCTGGTAAAAATAAAAATCTCACAATACGTGGAGACTGAACAAAAATAATTTTGTCTGTATGTCAGACAATAAATTAATGTTTTTGTTTATTAACTAGTGAACACTTTTTATTTTTTATACACATTGTTTTAATCTCAGAAAACAGTGTACATAAAGCACTTTTGTGAAGACGAGCCAGAAAGTGATGTAACCATATGGGGAAAACAGCAATAATCTTTATCTGGCTTGGTGATTTTAATGAAATTAACTGATCAAATCCTCATATGGTGAACAAGTGCACAGCTTTAATCAGTTCTTCCTGCAGAGATGTCTGCTGTTAGATGTTTGTGAGCAGAAGCAAAAAGAGTTCAGACGAGGCAAAACAAAAAAAAAGACACCATCTTGCCATCTACATACCGCACGCAGTCAACTTTTAGATTTGATCGCTCGTCTTTGACAAAAGGGTAGAAAAAGACGATATAGTGTATTTTTCAGAATATAAGGCGCATTAAGCAAAACAAAACGGTCCGATAAGTCAAACTTTATGCAACTCACTCACAGTAACCACTTAAAATCGGTTCGAGGTCAGTAAACACAACCAGAATGTATTAACCTTTATTTAACCAGGCAGATCCCATTGAGATCACAGACGTGTTTCGAGGCCTGAAGGCAGACAACATGCATGTTTCTGGTCTGTGGGAGGAAACTGGAGTATCTGGAGAAAACACACACAAGCACGAGAAGAACATGCAAACTCCACACAGGTCCAACTGGGGATTGAACCCAGGACCTTCTTGCTGTGAGGCAACAGTGCTAACCACTGAGCCATCGTGCTGCCATTAATTAATACATAAAGCACACCTGATTATAGGGCTCACTGTCGATTTTTGAGAGAATTAAATGATTTTAAGTGCCCCTTATAGTCTGAAAAATACAGTAATCTTATAAGAGTCTGGTTGTAAAAAGATGTGAATTTGGCTTTATACTGAGGACAGGGATATTTAGGTGCCTAAACTACTTTTTGACACAATTTGATTATGATTCAGAGGACTGCGATAAGATTATAAAAACAAATAGAAACTTAAATAATTATGGCTAATGTTAAATAAATACTGGTTTATACATTATCATGACTGGATTCCCCAACAACATGCCATTAAACTCTATTAATTAGCATGGATGCTAACCTAACATTGAAAATGCCATATAAGAGCTAATCCAGTTGACCAAATGTATGCACACACCAAACATGTCTAATTTCAGCTAGTATGTACAGGCGTATAAACTTCAGGGTTTGGCAAAGAAAATCTGAAACGTACATGAAAACGCATTTCTTCTGCACGAGTAACTACAGGACAACCAGCACTACTTTGCTGGCTCACCTTAGGCCTCAAGTGATCACAGTGTTAATAAATACAAAAACTGGTTCACGAACAGGTTTCTAACACAACTAGAAAGTTCAGGGGCAGTAAAGAAAAACTGCCTCTCTAAAGTACTTAAGCAAAAAAAAAAAAAAAAAAAGGTATCAGTGTTTTGTAGCAGATACGTGTGATGTGTTGCATGAATTGTTCTTCACAACAAAAAAAACTGTCAGTTATTGATCATAAAACAAAATAAGTAATAACTCAAAGTAAAAGAAGCAGAACCACAAGTGCTTCAAGGTTTCCTGTTTCACCTGGGATTTTCCTCCGCTGCATCGTCAAACCAGTGACAAACCACTAGAGGAGCCGAACCACAGCCCACTCTCCAGCCAGCAGCTGCTGCACTTCATGAGAGCAACTTTCATCTTTAAAAGAGCATCTGGGAGCATCTTCTCAACTGTGCTAACAGACGATCAATCCCCTGTAAGTACGAGTCGTCCGGACTGAGTTTCAGTCAAACACACAACGTGCATCATTTAAGAGAAAATGTACAAGAAGACAATCCTTATAGTCCGCTATAAATTCCTACATCAAGAAATAATAAATGCGTATGAGCTGCTGTGTGGTGTTTGAGGAAATCCTCAACAAACAACTCGGTGAACCCTAATCCTCCACCTCTGTGCAACTGGAACCACCGCTGCTCCACCGTGCAGCCGAACCGGCTCTCGTTGAGATAAGGTCTGCTTTGAGGAATTTGAAAAGTTGCAAATCATAGCTTCACAGAGAGAAAAGAAAGGGATGGGGGGGGGGGGGGGGGGGGGGACACTCCAATGCACAACTTCAAAAGAAACTTTCAGAGAAGTGATGGAGCACGTGGGAGACCAAACCCCCCCTGCCAGGCAAGCCAAGTGCACGACTGGAGCACAGGCACCATCCTGATCCAAATAACATCTTAAAATATTTAACAAATAATTATATTAGTGCAGAAACAACAAACTACTGTTAATCATTTTCACTGAGCAAAACCAACAGATGTGAAGACGCGTCCAACATTAAGACCAGATGTGCAGCTCTGGAACAAATTAAGACACCGCGGCAAAATGATCATTGTTTTTTTTTTTTGTTTGTTTGTTTGTTTATGTCACCATTCATAAAAACATTTGAGTTTTATTCTATTGTCTACTAAAAACATGTATTCTTAATTTCAAACGATAAAAATCATTTAGAGAAGTGAGTTAGAGAACATGGCAAACAGTCAAAATAACAGAAGTGATTTCAGAACTTAAATAATAAGAGAACCAGGTTCTGTTTATTTGAACAGACCAAAACTAATGACTTAATTTAGAAAGAGATTAGAAATCAGTATTTGGTGCAGAAACACAGATTTTGAATCCCATGTTGGGGAGGGAGGGGGGGCGTTTTGCCACTCCTGGTGCAGAAATCCAATCAGCCCAACGGTTTGATGGCATCGGACCATCCATCTTCCTCTTCATCACATTCCAGAGGTTTTCAGAGGTTCAGATGTGGAGACTGGGCTGGAGCTCCTTCATCCACACCTGAACCCAACAGAAAACCTCACTGGACGACACCCCCCCGTCAGTGGTTGTGTTTTAACCCAAATACTGAGTTAGAACCAGTACTGTGTTTGCCATCCAGCTGGTCCTACTGCAAACTCACAGTGGGTTTTGTTTTTTAGGCCTTTTCTCCTTAAAGAAGATTTGGTTTAGTGTCGTTAAGCAGAATGAGGTGTCGTTTAGTCGTGCTGGTTTCAGAAATAATAGCAGTGGTCTGGTTTGTTCCACAGCTGGATGTTGCTCTTGAATGAAGACGTTTGTTGCACTTAAAAAAAAAAAAAAGTGCTCAGTTGCACATTGACGCATGTTCTGGCTCATTTTTTGGACAGATTCCTGGATCTGTTACAACCCCAGAGTTCACGAGACCAAATAACAAAAACACTTTGACCAGACTGGACCATATCTTTTAAGCTGATCAACCCACTGAATCCCGGATGATGGCATAGGGACTCGTTTCTGGAGGACTTTTTATTCCCACTCACCCTGATCCGCCTCATGGCAGCAACTATCTCCACTCGGCTGCTCGGACGCGTCACATCCAGACTGCCGATGTACTGCAGGGAGAGGACACAGGACAGGTTTGTTGATGGAAAAAACAACTTTATGTTTACTCAAACTGCTCAAGTGTCAACCTAACACAACAAGCAATAATCCAGTTGGAACTCGGGATCGAGTTTTCTGGAAACATTCAGTTCCAAAAAGAAAAGTCGTGGAGTTCCCGGAGTTTTCTGGGTGAGTTTGTGCGTAAAACCAACGTGGTTCTTGGAGGAATGCTAACCCTAAAATGAAAAACGCAAACATTTCAGCTGAGTTACTTTCATTTCAGAGTAAAGTCACCTTTGCCTCGAAGTTGATCCCATGTTGGAACGCTTCCTCGTTGTGCAACGGGATCCTCAGATCGTGCCCATCATCCACCAGGTTGTACTTGGTTTTCCCAGGCATTTTCCAGCTGTTATTATATCCCCACTACATAAGAAGGTAAAGCCGCGCCAAACCAGGGCAATTACAGGGGTAATCCGAGAGAAATAATCCCAGATCCGGTCAGTGGCTGTGCTCCATAACGCAGCGAGGCGTCCCCCCCGGCGCAGCAACGCTCCTCTGCCGCCTCCGAGCAGCCAAGAGTCGGTCACAAGTTGAGCGGCGCTCCGGTGAGCCGCGGGGAAGTAACAGCTCGGAAAACACGGACGGCGTTCCGCGACCCACGGGCGGGTTTTCCTGACTTTTCCTGGGTTCAATGTGGAAGTTGGTCGCGTCCACACTGCCTCCGGTTCTGGACTAACCCCCACTGCCGCGCGGAGGGAGGGTTTGATTGGAGGAGTCCGGGGATCCCACCTGTTTCCATTGGAACAGGGGCGCACCGCGGCCCAAAGGAGGAGTGGCTCTGCCTCTGGTACCTGCCCCCTTCCACCCCCCCACCCCACCCCGCCCTCTCTGTCCTCCCTCCTTACACACGTACACAAACACGGAGGGAAGGAATGTCAAGCAGGTGTCACACTGACACCTTTTTTTGGTAAACCTTGACTTTGGGAATAACCTAAAAAGTTGTTTAACACTAACTTGTTGGTCTTTGCAAAAACGACTGTTTATTCTTAATCTGGCAACTTAGCCTTTCTAGATAATTAGTTGATTATTGCATATATGTACAGATGTTGATTATAATGTCTGTTTTCATGTTTTTATGGCTGTGATTTTGAGATTTATTAAAACACTTCAGTCAACGCTGATTGTTTAAATGCGTTTGTAAATTAAGTAGATTTGATATGAAATACACATGGCAACCTGATATTATTATTTTTCTTCAGCCCATCTTGTTTTCTGTTCAAGAAAAGGTGAATGTGGGTTTTAATTTCTCGAGCAAAATAAAAAAGACAAATGTCTCCCTCTAGTGGCTGTTTCTTCCATTACAGTCTGTGAAGTAGCTCCTGCACTCAAATTAGTCAAGAAAAATACAAATATAAATGTTGTTTTTCTGCAATTAGTCTCTAAAGCAATACACAGTTTAGGCTTTGTAACTTTTGATGATACATCAGTGATAAATTAGTGAGGAAGAAACGTGTCTTTTGAAGCGATTAAAGAAACTCCCAATTCTTTCTTCCTTTTGCATAATGTTGCAAAAGCGACAAGATGCTCAAACATCTAACACATGTGAACTTTCACTTTTTGTTTATTTTCTTCTTTTTTTAGATTAAATGTCATTAAATGACCATTTGACATTAACATGAAATAATAAACACTTTGTTTATTATTAAGTTTGACGTTACAAATTATTCTGCCTTACTGGATAACCCTGTCTGCACAACTCTTGACATGATGAAATAACTAGTTTCAAACAAAAAGGGAATGACGTGTTTGATGGACGCTACGAGCACATTTATAGAATTTTAATAGAAGTGTCTTCTGTGCAGTTCAGACCAACGTGGTCGTTCAGCTCGGAGGAGATCTGTTTAGTTGTCATGTTGCGTAATCCGTCCATCCATCTGTCCGTCCTGGGAGCAGAGTCATTCCCCATCGTTCAGTGGTCCCAGGCGGTGAGATGAGGAGAAGTGGGGCAGAACAAATTCACATTCTCATCACCTCTTTGGAAAGATACAAAGTGCGGCTCCTAATAACATCCCCAGGGTGAAGGAGCACATGAATACATGGATTTGTCTCAAAAGTGGCATCTGGCTGCTAAATTTTAAACCAGATGTCTGTTTTGATCATTTTGTGCACTCAAACGTAGTTAAATCTGCCTCATCAGTGTGATTCATCCACATGCAGTTCTTGTTTTAACTGTGACGCATAGGCCTGTCGCGATAAACAATAAATCGATTAATCGCATCAGAAATGAAAATTATCGACCTCATTTTCATTTATCGGCTTTATCGTTTCTTCGTCTCTCTTTCTACTGAAGACACTGGATGACAAAAGGTTCAACTCCGGTTCACTGAGCCCTCCCTTTCTCCTTTTGCTTTAAAATCAATTGTAACCGTCCAAAATCGTGTTTTTGGATCGTTAAAAGCAGCTAAGCTGAGAAGCTAAGCTACGAGCTAAGCTAACAGGCTGACCTCAGGAGAAAACCTCCGTCTTGTCGAAGCTCCAAAATTCACGGTTGAAACCCGTGCCTTCGTGTAAAAAGTTGTTTATCTCTGCAAAAAGAAGCCAAGATCTTGTTTACTGCTTTTAAAAAAAAAAGTTTTGTGTGAAAAATGCTATGCTAAAGAGCTCAAACCACACCGAGCGTCCATCATTTTGAGAACCGAAAACAACCCATGTCACGTCAAGGGGCCTCCCTCCCATTTTTCTTAGAGACACGCTGCTCGCTCCCTCACTATCCATCCTTCGGTTCAGTCTTATACTGCCATCAAAAAAAAGGTACACAAAAATTAACCAACATTTCTTCTTAACTTTGACAATAATTACTAATTATTGTCACAATTCAAACAATATTATCGTTTATCGCAATAATTTCTGAGACAATTAATCGCCCAGCAAAATTTGTTATCGTGACAGGCCTAGTGACGCAGTTTTGAATAAAGCAAACAGAAGAATCACGAGACAACCTTAACTCTTTAATCCAACAGTTACTGCTTCATTACAGTCTACATTTGCTTTATAATCTAGCTGTTTTTTTTACTTTTTTGGCCATCTTATTAAAAAAAAAATCTGTATGCCTTTTTGTAACTGTCTATTGTTGTTGTTGTTGTCCACTGTTGTCATCACTCTTTGTTGAAACCAGGTCTCTCTTGTAAATGAGTCCTCGAGGCTCAATGGGATTCACCTGTGTAAATAAAGGTTGAATAAAAAAAACAATGTTCAGTCAGTTCATCTTGACAGTTTCTTTTTTTGTGCTGAGACGTTTCACCCTCCATCCAGAAGGCTTCATCACCAACATAACTGCTTTTTTTTTGTTCACTTTGGAGCAAGCTGTTGGGGGAATATCAGTTTTGTTTAGTGTTTCCTCAGACTGATGAAGCCTTCTGGATGAAGGACGAAACGTCTCATCACACACACACACACACACACAAAAGAAACTGTCCAGAAGAACTGACTGAACATTGTTGGATTTTATACCTGGATTATTGAGCATGGACGCCGTTGTCTTAACTCTTTGAAAACACATCGTTTGCAAAGCCTTCTTGACTGTCGGGATACAAATATTTTTTATTTTTAACTTTAAAGGAGAGCTCAGTGAAAACTGTAGCATCAAGCCGTGTTTTCAGTCCCTGCAGCCTTGACCTCTGTGCCCTCATCACAGCGATGCAGTCAGGTAGCAGATCGGAGCAGATGTCGTCTCTGCACGAACAATAATTACACAGTAAAACCAGTCACCCTGCACACGGACCTCGTGTCTTCTAAAGGCTCTTCGGAAAGGATACACAGGAAGTTAATCCTTACCAGGTCATCCAATACATATAGGTGTGGCTTTCAAAGCACATTATCCCAACATGAGGGTGGGATGAGGGGAGAAACAGGGATCCACTTCAAAGCCAGAAGACAGCGGGGCACGTATGGCTGCGGTTAATGTCAGGTCTCTGTGCAACCAGAACAAGCAACGGTAATTGAAACCGCTACATCGGTTTTTTTTTTTAAGGCAGCTTTGTCTTTAGCTTTTGAATTTCTCACATTTCAGATCAGAAAGGTGAGTTGTAGTTTTTTTTTTGTGCCGTATGTTTAAAGAGAGAGGGAGAAACTCTGACAGTTTTTAACCAAGTTTGATGATTCAGTTTAACTCCGTCCACAAAAAGCAAATTTGTAAAACGTGTGATTTTAGTCCGAACATGAATTTTACACAAAACTGAACGTGAAACAAAACGTAAGTTTCTTTCGGCTGCTCCATTCTTCAGAGATGGCCACAGCAAGAGAAATGGCTTGAAAGATTTGTCAATTTGTTTTATAAGAGAGGCCCTTCCTGATGCAACCTGGGCTCAAACCCGCAACCTCAGGATTACAAGGCTGCAACATAGACCACCAAGCTACTGCAGCCCATGTGAAACAAAAAGTATTTGGTATGTTTTGTATTCTGCAGATCCAGATATCACCAGAGGGTTTATTTGCCCTCTTGGGATTCTCCAGGAAGAGCAAGAGAGCATTGCTGAGGAGGAGGTCTGGGGTTCCTTCCTGGATGATCTGCGGTAGACGTGGTCTCCAGTATAGGTACTTGTGCGTGCACCCGAGTAACAACCTCAGCTGGAGCAACAACACCACCAGCCTGATCAAGAAAGCTCATCGGAGACTCTACTTCCTCAGACTGCTGAGACGAGCTGGTCTGGGAAGCTCAGTCCTCACCTCCTTCTACAGGTGTGCAGTGGAGAGCATCCTGTGCTCCAGCATCAACGTGTGGCATGGAGGCTGCACAGCTGCAGAAAGAAAAGCTTTGCAGAGAGTGGTGAAGGCTGCACAGAAGATGTTGGAGTCAGACTCATCACCATCACAGACATCTACACCTCTAGATGCAGGAAGAGGGCCACCTGCATCATGAAGGACTCCACTCACCCAGCACACACACTTTTTGTGCCGCTCCCCTCAGGAAGGAGGTTGAGGAGCATTAAGTGTAGAACCACTAGACTGAGGAACAGCTTCTACCCTGAGGCTGCTAGACTCATGAATCTCTAACCAGAATAATCACTGTGGGGAAACAATAATGAATAAATGAATAAAATCACTGTAATGCCACTTTAATTGAAGATTTGTCACCTTATCTGTGCTGCTGATTATCCATGCTGCTGATTTCTTACCCATCGGCTCACAACAGACTCAAGTTCAGGCTGCTGGTGTAATACACCTCATTATATTATCATTGTTTAGTTTATATATCTTAGATCCTTATACACTGTTTATTTTTATACTTTATATTGTTGCTATTTTTGGGTGTAACTGTGACCTTGAGTACACAATTTCCTTCCACCTCATGTACCACATGTGATGCGAATGACAGTAAAGAACCTTGCACCTTGAAAACAGATAGATGGATGTAGAAATAGATTCATACGTGTGATCATTACCCATAAGAGACAAGCAGTTTTTAAACCGTTTTATTATTTTATGAAGGTGATAAATCCTTTTAATGTTATTATTCCTCTCTTATACAGTTTTTAATCCCCATATTCAAACAATTTCACCACAGTGCATTCTTTAATAACTGCCCATGTGTATGTGCAACTTAAAGAAAGCTTTTCAAGGTTAAATTTCATACAAACTCTGATTGTTATGAGGTGACCAGCTGCTCTGAATCTTGTATAATATTCATCTCCGCCTTAAG